TTTTTGATTATAAAGTTTTTTTTATTAAGTAGTTAAAAGTTTTTTTTTTTACTTGGGAAGTTAGAAGTTCTTTCTACTTGGAAAGCTAGAAGAAGAAGATTTAGGATTTAAGAAAGTAAAGGCAATCATGGTAGCTATAAATGCCACTTGGTGATATATTAGATTTTTTGTTTGCAGAAAATTTTAGTATTGAGAGAAAATTTTACTATAGCAGATTGCACATAGGTATTAGCAGAGAACAACTGGGTAAGTTGATACTTGTAACTTAGATGTAATATGTTAGCCCAGTATTAAAGTTATTTTACCACATGAAATAGATATGAAATAGATTTGGTGAAGTCTTACCTAGTAATAGAGATTCACCAAAAATTTCAATTTTCCTACCAGTATTTACCGGTAGGTGGTAGCTACCATTAGCTACTACTACCAGTAGTATAGCAAATTTTCATTCTAATTAGCAAATTTTTTATCTATATATATATAGTGCAAGCTGTAATTAACCAATCAGATTTAATAAACTACTAACTATCTACCTGCTATCTACTACTTTATATTATTAACTTCATAGTAGCTACTGGTATCCAGTGTTGTATATAAGACAATTTTAGACAATTTTGGACATTTTTTCAAATTAAAATTACTTGAAATTTTATTAAGATAATCTATCTTAATTTTTTTACCAATAAGTCCAGCATCTAAAAAAAATATATAATTATATATTTTTTTAAATTACTTTATTGATTAGTTAACATGAGACATAGACTTGGACGATTTTGGACATTGGACATTTTACATAGGGTGGACACGTCCCATATACAATGCTGCCAGTATCTACTAGTAGTTACTAGTGGTAGATAGCTATTAGTAGCTACCAACTCACATCACTAGTCTTACCTAATAAAGTATTAGCATAATTGCTAAATGTTTAAAAATATATATATCTTTTTGAGGTCTGCTATACTATTTGTTTATATAGAGGTAGAATTTTTTGTGTAATACCTACTAGCAATAATTTTGATATAGATATTACAGATTTCTAATATTACAAACAATTTCAATAATCAATTAATTGTTTGATCAATTAATTATTAGCTTAATTGGTGATATCAATGTGTCACAAAGATAATTAGAGTTTAATTAAGATATTCTCTTTATAAAAGATGAGTTCTATATATTATTTAATACTCTTTCTTATATACAATAATCAAAAAAAGTAAAATATATTAAAGTTATAGAGACAAGAAATTTTTACAATAAGTATTTGTACTAAATTATGTTTTAACAAGAAAATAATTTGGGGTTAACACTTCTACTTTTTAATTTTGAAGGGTTTGAACTCAAGCTTTACTTTTGCTTGTCAAGATGTTTATAATATTATCAGGGACAGAATATTGGTTTTTACTACAAGCAATATGGGTCAAAGAAGCAATTTATATAAAGAACAACTTCTACTACTAGGATTTTGAAGTTTTCAAACTCTACCGAGTTTCTCTTTTTTTTATTAAAGAGGAGCAAAAAGCTCTTATATATTAAATTTTACAGACTAAAAAGTGAGTAAATTCACTCTTTTTACTATTTTTACTTAATTTACTTAATTCAATGTTTTTACTCAATTTGCTTATTTACTTACTCTTCTAGCTATAAAAGGAAATCCTACTATCAAAAATAAAATAATAATAATAATAATAATAAAGAATATAAACTAAAAATAGAAATAGATAGTTTATAGCCTAATTTTGGGCAAGATAACTCCAATTTAACTATCACAACATATGTATATATATAAAAAATTAAATCACACTACAATACTATTATTATATATATATATGTATTTTTTCAGATTCTATTTCTAGATAATCAAAATTTAAACTTTACTAATTACTTGTGAAAATAAATAGAACTTTGCAAAAACCTTTGATTTTTGCTAAATATTGCTACAATATTGCTATAATATAATTACAATATTACTAATGTTATTATATAATAATATATGTTAAACATATATTAAAAATATTATTATCAAAATTTAAAAATATTTTTTGTTCAATTAAATCACTTTTAATTTGATGTATTATATATTTATAATATAATTACAATATAGGTTTAATATGAGAAATATCCTTTTATTATCTAATAGTAATATAATAAAATAATAGTTTAATATTATAATAACAATCTGTTTAAATAATTAAATAATAATACCAATATATTTCCACAAAGCCTATATTTTAGTAAGATGATAACAAGCAAATTAATAGTAATTAAACAGACAAAAAATATTATTATATTTTTATTATATAATAATTATAAAGCATATATATTTAGTAAAATCAAAGGTTTCTGTAAAGAAGTACTGTATATGTACTCATTTTAAATGAAAAGATAGACTTTCGTATCTACATATTTCAGTATTTATGATTTTCATCGTATATGCGATTTATACAGTATTACAGTATAGTTAATGATGGGAGATACAACCACATGATGAAAAATCAAAATAGATTATTGATTTTTTATATGTGACAATTAGCATACGTGATTGCATCACCAATCATTAGTGCTGTACATTTGCATCACCTGTCCTAATACCAAATTTAGAACTATAACAAAATTTCTACGTAACTGAAACAAGTGAACATAAATAGTGTCGATTAATTATAAGAATAATTTTCTCGATCTTATGATTTTTTATTAATAATGACAAAATGACTTCGTCAGATTTATCGCAAGATTTTTTTGATACTCTTATACAAATTTCTGATAAAAAAAATAACAAGATCAAAGTTTTTCAGGCGGATTCAAGAGTTCTTAGAAGTCGATGTGAATATTTTAACATAGCCTTATCGGATACGTGGAGAAACAATAACGACACTATGTATAGGCTAGAATTAGAAATGCCTTGTGATGTTTTTCAAGAAATATTGGAGTAAGTATTCATTTTTATCTTACTAGAACTTACGTATTCATTAATTTAGTAATATCAATATTAATAATTATGGTTTTTAATTTTTAGGGGAATTTATAACGGATCAATTATTTTAAGCAATATAGACCTAACATTTTCTATGGATTTATTACTGGCTTCCGATTTTCTTCTCCTTCACGAATTTGTCGATTTTTTAAAATTCAAATTATTAGAAGGAAGTAAAGAGAATTGGAGTGATAATGATATTATTTATATATTAAAGGCTTCTCATCAACTTCCATGCCTCCGTGAACTCTACTTAGTTTGCCAAGATATGGTAGCAGAAAATCCAAAGATCTTATTTGATTCACCAGAATTTTCTTCGATTGATGAGGAATTATTGCTTAATATATTAAAATTGGATATGATTTGTGCGCATGAATTAATAGTATTTAACAAATTGATTAAGTGGGGAATCGCAAACACGCCAAATTATTCTACTATAACTGATAATACATCTCGACTCAGTGCATTAGGTGCTACTATTGAAAAAGGATTGAAATTAATTCGATACAATTACATACGTCGTTCCATTAAAACAAAATATAATCAAATCATACCAAAAAACTTTTTGTATTCATCTCGCTCTAAGGATATGGTTGATCCAAAGGTTATTAGTAATAGATTTGCTGGAATAGTTGCTGCATGGATTGATAGAAAGGATCCTATGGAAGTTCAATACACTGCTGTTAAGAATCCATTCAGATTTAGGCATGTTTTTCGTATGAATGATAATACCGATTTTTCTCCCGAACATTATAAATTTCATCGATTTTCTAAGTTACCAACAATGAAATGTCACGAAGGACCTTCATTAATGATAATTAAACTTAAAAATTCTGGAAAAATTATTGGTGCTTACAATCCTATTCAATGGGGAAAAGGAGATTATAGTTATCGTTCTACATCAGAGAGCTTTATTTTCTCCTGTGATGATAGATTTGGTTCAAATTATCGGTTATGTAGAGTTATTAATTATAATCGTGCTGTCTGTTTATTTGGTGGTCTATTAAAATTTGGTGAAGATTTAAAGTTTACTTGTGATAAAGAAATCGTCAAATGTAAGATTGAACATAAATTTTATGAACAAACTTCTTTGGTTGAAGGCATATACGAAGTCGATGAATGGAATGTTTATAAAGTTAGGACAAAAGATATTCTACCAATGCGTGTAATGATAAATTTGGATCTTGAATCAAAAATTATTAATAGTGACTTTTTCGGTATTATCTCAACATGGATTGATAAAAAAGATCTAGAAAATGATGAACCTTACCTTAAATCTAATATGCCATACCAATTTACACCTATATTTCGCATGAAAGATAATTCAGCTTTCTTTCCAAAACAATATTATAATCAATTAACGGAGAGAATATTACCAACAATGAAATGTCACCACCATGGACCTTCGTTGATGTTAATGAAAATAAAATCTTCTGGAAAGGTAATTGGTGCTTATAATCCCCTCGATTGGCAACATCACACTTATGCAGCTGATGTTCAATATAGAAGTACAAAAAAAAGTTTTATTTTTTCTTATGAACTATATGGAAATAATGAAACAAATTATCGATTATGTCGGGTTGTAAATTTTGATCAGGCAATCGCTTCTGAGAAAATGATCACCAATAGAAAAGACATTAATAGCTTAATTTTAAGATTCGGTGATGATTTAGTGTTTTCTCATCAAGAAGGAATAAATCAAAATATTAATTCTAGTATTTTTTGCCGTATAAAGGCAAATGGTTGCTATCAACAACCACCCATAATGCCCATCGGAAATTACGAGATAGATAAGTGGGAAATTTTCAGAGTTGAAAAATGATACAAAAAATGTGATCTCTGTATATTTTTAATAAAGAATACATTATGCTTATCTTTTTCAATTACAATTCTATATTGCTAATAAATTCCAAGTGCAAATATTTCAATATTCCGGTAACGTTCCATCTCTGTATATTTAGTAAATCTGTAAATTCATCTTATTCGACCCTATAAGGTCTAGAATCAGCTTTTTTTGGCAAAATGTTGATCTCACGATAAATAATTATGTGATTAGTATTTTGGGGCGGCAAGATTAACTTTCAAAAAAAAAAACCTCCGAAACGCCCGCGGGTGGCCTGATTCCGTATCCAACGGCCCATGTACATGATTGTATCCAAAGTTATAAGAATCTAAAATTTTCATTATTAACCGAATTATTGTGATTTATTTTTTAAATAAAATCTGGTTTAACCGATTTACTCATTTAATATACAAGTGTACTAAAGTTTTGTATCATTATTGTTATGTATAAGAGGACATGCATGTACGTGCATAAGCACGTACGTACGTACGTACATTCTGTATCTTCCAACCAAGATTAATCGTACAAATAATTATGGCAAACACACCAGAAAAATGGCTCGAAATGGCCATTTCCGATGGGCATATTAATTATATCGAATATAATAATTTTATAAACCCCATTGAGATTGGTAAAGGAGGTTTTGGAAAAGTTTCTAAATACGAATGGGAAGATAGTCGTTTAACAGTTGCTCTTAAATCTCTTAAAGTAGATAATACGTAGCATAGATGAAAAGTCTTTAAAGATTTTATTAATAAGGTATTATTTAATATATTAAAATTTTTAAGTTAAATAATATTACAGATATTACAGAATAATAAGTTCGTATAATTCATATAATCAGCTTAAACTATTACGAGAGTTTGTAACCATTCAAACGTTATTGAATTCTTTGGAATTACAAGAGGTAAATAAACAATTTATAAGTTTTTTGAAGGTACCATATTAAGCAAAAAAAAATATTTATTTGATGTAACAAGGTTAAAAAATATAATGCTAAGGGAGTTCTTTATATAATTGCTTCGATTAGTAAGAAATGATTAAGTTGCAAATATAATATCAAATTATCAAAGAGGTTGAATTATTTTTTTACGTATTATTATCTGAAATAATGTATTCAGAGTATAGAATCATTGCCCGGAGCGTAGCAGAAGACTTTTAACGTTTACGCATGTTGATACAAAATTTTGATTCACCTTTTATTGTCATTTAAGTTATTGCATCAAAATTATAATTTTGAAAATTCATGTCTGTCCGCATGCGTGTTCAAATTTGTAACTTTAGTGTAGTAAAAATATGCACATTCACGCGTTTGTGCAATGAGATGATCATATGATATGCCCGGACTCATAATGCTATGCATTTTCCTAATAACAGAGCAATTATGCTTATATTTAGGCGTTTACTTTTAATAATATATATTTATATATGTATTTATTAATATGAAATTGTATGATTGTAATCTACTAGCACAACAGATGGCGCTTATGCGCCACCCTCTTATTGTGGTGACATATAGTATACATTGAAATTACCAACAGGAGGAGACGTCCAAATATAGGGGACGTCTAAAGCAGAGTAGATTCTTATAATATTTATTTTATCGAATTAACTTTAGGGTTATGGTCATCTTGGATTATGTTTAGATTATGCTTTAGATAGTTATATAAAAGCAAAATTGCCTTCCCGACATTTTTGCTTAGCATACCAAGGAAGGTTTAGACTGCTATTTTTTGTATTTTAAAGTTTTTTTGCTTTTTTTCTTGTTTTGCTTCATCAAAATTCTATAATTTGATTGGTTGTATATCACGTGATTTTGCTCCGCTTTAGACGATCCCGAAATCGACTTCGTGTATTAATCATCTTGCTTACGTGCTTATCATAAACTCTAATAAGTGTTGACAAACCAAACCTAAGCGCCCTTTTCAATAGATTATCAGGGTTTTATTGGTTTTGTATTTGAATTAAATAGTTCTGGTGTTTTTGAAAGTTTACCGAAGGCGTAACCTATATGGCAAAAGATCCCATTTAACTTGTCGCGATCCAATATTACATATCATCCCTTTTTATTTAAACAGATTACTTACTTATTTATTTATTTTTACTATACAAATTGTAATTATAAAATATATAGGTATATCTTCGCTTTATTATTTTTTTAATTAATTTCTCCTCCAAACAATTTAAAGTAACGTTGATGCTTTCGCATTGAACATATTTTTGCGTCAAAATGGCAATTAATACCAATCTGCCGGAAGAACAACCTGAAAAAATTGACAGTTCATCAGATATTACTCAAGTGTATTCAGAAGACAAAGCACAAAATTTTTCACGGGATTTTCTTAATGAAATTGTTAAAAAAATTTGTAATCTGTTTAATAAAGAACGACTAAAAGGCAAATATGATTATTTAATCCTTGATATGTTAGAACAATTTCTGATGAAAAAGAAGCAAAATCCTGTCAATATTATTAATTTTTGCTTAAATGTCAGATCAATCCTACGATTCAAAGCATTCTTTGCAGCTGTTATCTTTATGGTAAATGGGTTGAAAAAGATGAGCATAAGGCATTCATCTATTGCCAAAAATCTGCAGAGATGGGCGATACTACTGCCATATGTGGTGTTGGGTATTTTTATTGAAAAGGAATTGGAGTTGAAAAAGATGAACATAAAGCATTAAATTATTTTCAAAAGCGGGTGATTTTTTTGGAATATTTTGTATTGGACTTTGTTATTTTCATGGAATCGAAGTCGAAAAGGATGAAAATAGGGCATTCATTTATTATCAAAAATCTACAGATATGGGAAACGCTGTTGGAGCAAATATGGTTGGAAAATGTTATCAATATGGATTTGGAGTTGAGAAAGATGAATATAAAGCATTCTTTTACTATCAAAAATCCGCAGAAGCAGGAGATATCTGGGCAATGTCAAAAGTTGCAGAATGTTATCGAAATGGAATTGGTATGAAAAGAGATTTAAATAAAGCCAAATATTGGTATCAAAGGTAAATCTAAATTTGATTCTACAATTTATTTTGGTATTGTATATTGTGTCGCAACACAATCAATATATAAGATCAGGTGTAATTAAACTTAATATGTATCAATGTTATGGTTAAATGATAAACTAAAATATAACGTCATAAACAAAATCTTGAGCTTTTTTTTTAAAAAAAATAAAAAAAGAACATTACACCTGATTATAGTATTCAATTAGTAGACCTTGGTAATGCTAAGACACAACGCATTAAATTACAATACTTCATTACAATTCGGTGGATTTGAGGATTTAACCTTTATTAAAATTCCCTATCTATTTTATAATAGATTTAAGGTTTAGCACATAAGATTAAATTCTTAAGATTTCAAATAAAGTGTCCAATTACTAAGAACATTCGAGATTTTGGATCAAGGTCAAATTCCACAAATCTACCGAATTAATATATCAATACGTTTATATAATTAATAAATTCAATTACTGCTTTAAATCACTGTTTAGGGAAAAAAAAGTTTTAATAACAGGTATTAGTAATAATAATATCTTGGGTCGTTGGGTATTAGTGGATTGATCCGGGCAGTGATAACGGAAATACGTACTGATACT